TTATTTAATTATTTTTAATATTTAATTATTATTTATTTAGCTAGAATTTATTCTTGGAATTCGACTGGAATGGGCAGTACAAACTTGCTTCTTCTCCCTGGAGAGCAAATTATGTTGTCATGTACCTTTATTATTTCCCAAAATGCAATTCTCATCTAATAATAATCATTTTGTCTAAACATCTAGTACTCAGCTAAGTTATAGATAATTTCAAGTTTATATCACCTATAAATAGAATTCATTTTTATATTTCTATGTTTGGTAGTAATTAGCCTCTCAATCTGTAGTAATCTCCTTACATATATGTGGAATGCAACATGTGTTTGAAAGTAGTATTATACCACCAAAATAAAGATGTATGCCTTATCAAATATTTGATAAGCCTAAGCCTTCAGCATATGTTTACTGAGTTCATTTAACTACCAGCTTTGTGCTAATTGGACAATATGAGACATAATGACACACACAAAAAGACATATGAGGGAAAGGGACAAGGAATTCTAATCAGAACTCTTGGTCAGTAATGGTGAAAATCATTTTATTAGACCCCTTTGCTGTCCTTCACTAAGGTTTATGTTCAAGCATTTATCTTAAAGTTTCCCTTTTTAATTAATGTGTCCTTGAACCAAAGTACTGAATAAGACTTGTTTATGGGTAAAACTTAATGAATGACTGATGATGTAGAATAATGATTTAATATTCTAAGTAATACAATGTATTTGATACTTACTTCAGTTATTTTATCCCCAAATTATAAAGCTATACCTATTATGTTGATTAAAACTTGTATAGGAATTATTAAGTGCTGGGCACTGTCCTAAGTGCTTTACAAACATGAGCCCATTTAGTCTTCAGAAAAATTCTGTAACATAAAGTTATTATCATTTCTGTCTTGAAGATGGGGAATTATGACACAGAAAGGATAAGGAGTATACCAGTCACTTACAGTTGAGATGTGAGGTCAGAGCAGGTGATGGTCTGTCTACTGTGGATAGCTTAATATCAAATGAAGAAACAATGACAGTAATACAGTTTCACTGTTTTAAAATTACTTTGCAGTAATTCCAGGGACCTTAATAGAGGCCTTACTGAACCTTTAACAAAATACGCAATTCCTTGTTTTAAAAGCATCATTTCTTCATTAACTATTCTAGTTTTTGTGGCTTATATAGTACTTCTAGAGTATCAGTTATATTACAAAGTTGCTAAGAAATAGAATAGGATAATATTTGAAGTTCCCATTATATACCCATCACCCAATAAATGTTAATTTCTTCATAAAGTAGGTATAAACCTTATCTTTAGTCATTGAGAAATGTTTTATGAACATGTGTAGTTCTCCTCAACTGTCAGAAGATGTCAGTATTAGGATGTTGCCCCCAAAACTTGTCAAATTGTTTTTATGATGTCAAGAATATATAAAATTGAATAGGGCTAGGGGTGTAGCTCATTGGTAACAACACGTGCTCAGCATGTTCAAGGCCTTATGTTCAATCCTTAGCATAGAAAACAAAAGTAGAAAATGGAAAGAAAAATATAACATTGAGGTACTGAGATACCACTTTCTTTGGTAGAACTGTATTTTGGCATTCCCGTAGTTTTCATGATTATAGCATCATCTGTTGACTGCTTGCAAAGATAACACCCAATTTTTGTTAATTGCTTGTTTCCTGAAAATTAGAAGAATTGTTTATATGGTATATTATTGAACCTAACCTCGATCTATAGTTCATTAAGTAGTAAAAATCAATACTCTAGGGGTTTTTGTCACACTTTCACTGAGTGATGATAGAGCCTTCAGCTTTGCTATGTTTTCAGACATATAGATGTCTTCTTTTGCAACTTTATTCTAATACAAGTCAGTGATTAATACCATGTTGAATTATTTATATTTGGTATACTTATCGAAAGAGAGAGAGAGAGAGAGAGAGAGAGAGAGAGAGAGAGAGAGAGATTTAGACCTTCAGTTTTTCTTCTTAGTTGCCAGGAACAATTTAAGGTAATAATTTTGTCAAGTAAACCCCTAATAGTAAGGAAAAACTTTTTCAAGATATTGGTCAGACTATATGACCAAGAAGATAAACTGAATCAAGGTTACTTACTGCATACAAATTAATCATGGTAAAGAGGTATATTAACTATTACATTTCCCATCCAATGTTGTATAGTCATACTCTGGTATGTAAAATTTAATGACCTTGTAGACAAGATAAAGTTACACCTGAGTTTTCAAAGTACTCCAAGAAATCCATTACTTTATTTAATATCTTTTGTAGAAAAGTACTGTTATAGTTTTCAAAGACACCTAACAAAATATGAAAATTTAATTTATTATTGACAATGTTTAAGTAAATAGCTTTTATTTCTTAGAAGAAATTTAATACATGAATTACTAATGCATTTAATGATTGATTTTAAACAGATTGTTAAAAGGCTGTAGACTATGCCCAGATAATTCTAAATATTATTTGGTTTATTGAGATTCCATGTATGTTTTCAAATGTATCTTATTATTGAGATAAAACATTGTAATGACTCTTAAAATATGTAGTAATTTCATAAATACAGCACAATATTTTGTTTAAAGGTTATCCTCAAGGAAAATATTTTATCTATTTTTTGTGATGTCAGTTTTTTACTAGACTAAGGAAAGTAAGTTTGTAAAATAACATAGTTTTCTCTCAGCAAGAGTTTGTGCACAAACTAATTGACTCCTAAGACATTAAGACAAGCTTCAGAGATGAGCTAATCTTGTCTATAAACCAGACCTTTATTGTAATATTTGAATTCAAATGTTATAAAACCAGTAATGCAGACTATAGTAGTTGAATGTAGCTGAATTGAATTATTCAAAATTGTACTTCAGGCTTTTAATATCAAGTCCCATAATTAGGTCTTTTTGTTTGAAGACATTTAAATATGTCCAGGAATGTAAATTTAGCATCTAAGTTTAATTTGAAACAATATTTGTATAACAAGTAATGCATTTCCTGTTTTATAAATTCTTCATGTATCACTCTGAGTTTCTTTCCATTTAAAGTAAACAGTCTTCCATGTTTTATTAGTTACTTTTCTGTAGTAAAATGCCATGATGAAGCAGCTTATAGAAGGAAGAGTTTATTTGGCTTAGGGTTCCAGAGATTAAAGTCCATAATGGCCGGGAAGGCGTGTCAGCAGAGGTGACAGGGGCAAGAAGCCAAGTGCTCCCATCTCCCGGCAGGCACAGGAAGCAGAGAGTAACTGGAAATCTGGCAAGGCTTAAGAACTCTCAAAGCCCATCTCCAGTGGCAAGCTTCCTCCAGTATGGCCACACCTTCTAAGACTCCCTAAACAGTGACAACAACTGGGGACAAAATACCCAAGCACTTGGAACCTATGGAAGACATTCTCACTCAAATTACCACACATAGTTATGTTGAGGTGGTGGTAGAGCATAGCAGAAGGTAGCTAGGTCTTTTAATCCCTCGCTTCATGATTGAGATGATGTATGAGTGAGCTTGGCCTTTCCTTAGTCTCCTGCTTCCTTGATCACACGTATTCCCCTTCTGTATGTAGCTAGTTGCTTCTAGTTTTCTTTTGCACCTCCCCGCCAGTGTCAGCAAGGCTGCACATCATAAAACCTCCCCTAAAATGCCACCAACTGGGGACAAAATGTCCAAACACTTGGAGCCAATGGGGGGGCATTCTCATTCAGATCACCACATTCACTCCCTGACCACCATAGGCTCATGACCATATAAAGTGCAAAATGCATTTAGTCCACTTTCAAAAGTCCCAATAGTTCTGTTCCTCATAAAACCCTCACTAATAAAACGTCTTTTATATTCCTTTGCACTGTATAAATGTGTTCAGACTTCACAGGAGAGAAAAAGTAATGTTTTTCTCACTTATTATGAGGGTTGTGGCTGAGATTCCTATACCAAAAGACAAATTAAGTTTAGTAAACATAACAAATTTAATCCAAGTTTCACGTGACCAAGAGCCATCAGAAATGAAAACCCAAAGATCATGGGGAAATCATATTTACATGCTCTGATGAAAGAAGTAGAAAAATGTGCAGAAACATGGCTGGACAAAATGGGCTATGATCTTGTAGTACTGGGGAAACTCCTCAGGGTCTGTTTGTTCACACCCTTTCCAGTGTCCTTATACGACTCTCATTCTCCCATGTCTCCCACTGAATTGTGGGAAGGAATAAGAAAATAACCATTCTAATGGTTGCTAAACTGTATTCTCTTCATTCTAAGAACCATTTTGTCACATACTCAGATTTTTTTCTATTGAATTTTTTATCTTTCTATCTCCTTGTAAATTTGGAATAGTAGTACATATACAGTTGTTATGAAGATTAAACTGGTTAACATATGTAAGGCACTTCAATACTGCTATGTTGTAAGAAATAGCTGTAAATGCTAGCTTTTTTCCTTATTACTATTTTGTGGTGCTGAAGATTGAACCAGGGTTTCACAAATGCTAGGGAAGCACTGTACCACTGAACTATATCCCTAGATCATAATGTTTTTTTTTTAATTTATTAACTTTTTTTATTTTAATTTTTTTTTACAATTAAAGTTACAGTTTTAACAATATACAAAGTGTTACAGTAATTCAGATTTTTTGGCATAATGATTACAGATTTGATAAATACATTTTATATCTCATAATAGCGATGAAGATTATACAAAAGCTATTACAACAATTATGAGAATAAATTCACGAGTGTATTGCCTGCATGTATGTGAATGCAACCCGTGTCATTTAATGCCGCGGAGGCCAGAAGAGGGCTTCGGAGTCCCCTGGAACTGGAGTTAAGGACGGTTCGTAGCCACCATGTGGGTGCTGGGAATCAAACCCGGGTCCTCTGCAAGAGCAGTCAGTGCTCTTAACCGCTGAGCCATCTCGACAGCCCCGATCATAATGTTTTAATAGTAGCTACTAAGTATACTGAGATTACAGATAAGGTTAGAGATAATAAGAACCCAGGATAGGGTGGTATTCTAAGAATTCTGAGGAGGTAAGTCTAAGAGAGATTGCAGAAGAGTTGACTTGAAGACCCATTGAATGTAGTGAATTAAGAAAAGGAAACTCTCGGCCTGGCCTGGTGGCGCACGCTTTTAATCCCAGCACTTGGGAGGCAGAGGAGGGCGGATCTCTGTGAGTTCAAGGCCAGCCTGGTCTTCGTAGAGAGTTCTAGAATGGCTGGGGCTACAGGGAGACCCTGTCTCAAGACAAAAAAAAAAAAAAAAAGAAAGAAAAGAAAAAGAAACTCGCACCCGCATGGAGGCTAACAGCTGTCCTTAAATCCAGTTCCAGGGGACCTCTTGCCCTCTTCTGACCTCCGTGGGCATTGCACAATGTGGGTGCACTTACATTTATGCACACAGAACACTCATATACATAAAATAAGATTTTTAAAAATTTTTAAAAATTTAAAAAAAGAAGGCTCTAAGAGAACCCTCATATCATAAACCTGAAAAGATGAAATAAAGCAGTAAGAGGGAAATGCTGTTGGAGATGCTTGCAGTACCTAGAGTAATGTCTTGCACACAACAATGAATGTGTAAGTAGTAGAACTATTTAAAGTGGCTATATCCTTAAGTTTAATATCAAATGATGTAATGAAAGTACTGGCATATTAATGAATATCACATATAACTTATAAGTAGAGAAGTCACATGTTCAAGGAAAAATAAGGTATGCGTTTTAAATATTTTTCAGTATAAATCATCAAGGAAGAGTTCAAGTGGCAATGAAAATGATGAGGTGAGACAACAGGTGATGTTAATTATTTGAAATATTCGCTTTCATAATTAGTTGGCTCAATAAGAGTTAAATGCAGCCCAGCTGCCAATTTCTTTGTTACTGATTTAAAGCTTGAATTTTCTCCAACAATATAAATTTGTGAGCATTACCATACAATTATAAATTTTTTCATGCCATTTCCATATATTCTCTAGAACACTATTTCTTTATAAAAGATTTATTTATATTCTATGTGCATGAGTGTCTTGTCTATATGTATGTATGTTCACCATGTGCATTCAGTGCCTGCAGAGGCCAGAAGAGGGTATCTGATACCCTGAAGCTGTAGTTACAAATCATTTGTAAAGGGCCACGTGGGTCCTGGGAACCAAACGTGGGTCTTTGCAAGAGCAGCTGGTCCTTAACTGCTCAGCTATCTTTCCAGCCTCTGACTCAACATCTTATCTGTAAGACCTAGTGATTTGCTTGCTTGTTTATTTTGGGATACTGAAATCTGAAATATTTTACATATATCTACCACCTTCTTTTCCACCTTTGCTGCCTTGGCACAAACCTTTATTGTTTGTTGTCTGGATTACTGCAGACAACAGTACTGCAGTACTGTTGGAGGCCCGAAGTTGATGTCCAGTGTCTTCCTCAGTTGCGCTTCACTGAGTTTTTTGAGACAGGGTCTCTTACTGTATTTCGAGCTCTTTGATTCATCTATGCTGATTGACCAGTAAGCTCCAGGGATCCACCTCTCTGCCCTCCCAGTGCTGGGATTACAGACACATGCTATTGCGCCTATCTTTGTACATAGGGAACCGAACACAGTTGTCATGCTTGCTTGGCAGGCATTTTAACAACTAAGCCATCTCCGTAGCCCTTCTTCCTTTCTTTAATCCATTATCATCACTATACTCAGAATGACTGTCTGAGAGGACACAAACAAGTTAAACCAACTTCTTTGTTCGGAAATCTTCCGTTTCTTCCCATAACTCAAAAAGTAAATTTGTGGTTCTTTTTAATCAGGACCCTTGTAACTGCATCAGGTGAAATTCACACCTTGCCCTCCTTTCACCTTCTTCACCATCTAAGAATACAGAGCTGCTTAACAGTTTTCTCTTTACACTCATCCTTTCATTTCTTGCTACTGCATTTTTGTTGTTTTTAATCTTAGAATGTTGTTTCTTTCCATCATTTCCTAGCAAATGCCCAGTTTTTTGGAGGGTGTGTAAGTATGATTATTGAATATTTAGATTCCTTTATGTCAATAGCCAGAAGTAGTATTGTTGGGTCATATGATAATTATATTTTTAGGGTTTTTAGCAATATTTTTACTGATTTTTGGTGTATTTCATAAAATATATTTTACTCATATTTAGACCTTCTCCCTTATCTGCACACCCCATGCCTCCCCCACTGGATTTCATGCATTCTTTAATATATGTTATATATGCTATTGAGATTTTTGTTGTTGTTTTTGTTTTCATTTCTTTTTAATGAGACAGAGCCTCACTATGTTGTGTGGACTGGGCCCGAATTGTTGGACTAAAGGAATCTTCCTGACTCAGCCACCTGAACATCTAGGCTTATAATTCTGTTGCATCACTGCACCTGACTTTCACAGAGTTTTTACTTTCTTTGAAAATTTGTGCTTTTTCCCTCCCCTGTAATCTCCTTCCGATTCCTAGTATGCCATGCATAGACTGAGAATGTTTTATTACCTATACACATGAATCTATCTTTCCCCTAAACTGAGAGATTCTTTAAGGATGCTATTTTACCGAATTTCAATATTCTCAGTGTCTAGAACAATATCTGCCACCGAGTACCTATCAGCATTCATTTGTTGAATGAATCCATGTTGTATTGGCTATATATATTCCAGGATAAATGTCAAGATTTTTGCATTTAGTGGACAGTAGAATAGTCATTCAAAAATTATGGGCCATTTAATGTTTTTTTTCATCTAAATTTTTTGTAACTCCTTCCATGCTTAAACCAATACACATATTCTTCCAAATAAATTTTCTTATTTGCAGTAATGGAACTTTTGCAAACCTTCATTGACGTGTCTCAGATAGCAATACAACTTAGCTATTGTGCATAGACTGTAATTCTCAATCTTTAAAATACTTTTGAATCACTAGAGGATCTTACATGCATTCTGATTCGTTATTAGCTGCCAAAGGTGCTAGATTGGACGTTCCCAATTCCTCCTTTCATGGTTGATCAAAACAATCTTCAGTTTCCCTTTTGTATGCTAAATTCATCATTGTGTATTTTAATTTCATATTCTATGTTTTTATTTTTGTATTTTAGCAAGACAGTGATAATGCTCATATGTCACCACAGTCTCCAGTATCATCTGAGGTACAAGTTCTGTTTCTATATGTTTTGTATGTTTTCTGTACTCTACATAGGGCTCTTTTTGTCTCTCCTCTCAAACGTCATTTTTTCATATTATTTTTTACAAAGCAATTTATTCACTCCTATTTTGAAATCTATCATTGATTAGTTTGTACAAATCGTTCATTTGTAAAAAAAAAATTAAGTATCCCATTTCTTTGTGTAAATATTCCTAGTTTATCTAACTTGTGGTTTTCAGTGTAAGAATCCAGATAACAGAAAATAAGTCAGTTTATGAAACATATGCTTTTGAATTCATGTATATTTTAAATAAATGACGAATTTTAACAATAACTTTGAAATTTTAATTGAAATAATTGCCCTCCAGCATTGTGCAATGGCCTTTGGTTTTTCTTATAACCAATTAGGTCTGAAAACAATGCAAGAGAAACGTCCTTTTTCCACGAGAAACAATCCTGAAGTGGGTTGTTCCTATCGACAGGAGGTTACACATTTCCTCATATCTTAGATCTAAGGGACAGAGAGGGCGTGGTACCTGAAATTCATAATTTCTAAAACCTTGATCAAATACTCTGGTGATTTTAATGACTGAATTTTCTAGCATAGCTTAATCTATTGTGTTATCAAAAAATTTTAAGTTTAATACATTCTAAATAGTATCTGTTCTACTTCAGAATGCCTTATTATATTATAAAGTGTACGTGCATTAGTAAATAAATGATTCTTCACTTGTTCGATGAATTCAGGAATTAAAATGCTTGAATGACCTGAATTCACTGTATGAATTTGACTTTGCAGGTAGTATTTCATTTCATGTAAGTGGTTTTTAGTTTTTTAGAAAGCAAGGATTTTATCTATATTACTTTGGGTGATTTGCATTATAAAACTTTTCTATGTTCTTGAACATCAGATTTATAAGCATATATTTAAATTATACACAAGGTAAAATTATATACATGGTTTTGTAATATAATTTAAATTAGGATTTAATTTTTATTTTTTAAAAATTTTTTGGATGTTTTTATGGTATGAAAAATGTAAACATAGAAATGATTTTTACTTATTTGACTAGTTGGTTTAAGATTTTATGCCCACAAGAAAGAGCATTAGTGTCAATTTTCTCAGATAAGTTAATATTGCTTGTATAGGATATTTTTTGCTTGTATTTGGAGAAGTGAGCTTTTTTCCAGGAATTCAAAACAATTTAACCAAAATAATGGAGACAAAATGTAAAGCTGTGGATGGAGAGGATAATGAACATGTGACTTCACAGCACTACTAGCATTCAGCTTGAGCTGCGCAGCATGTCAGTGTACAGAAGATTCAGATACTCTGCACAATTCTGACCTCTTCAATTTAATGTGAAAAGAAAATGGCAAAACCAGCTAGTGTACCACTTTAACAAAGTGCTTGTATTTTGTCCGAACATAATTGTAGTCCTATGTTCATGTGTCACCTTTATCATTTTATAGCTGAAGAGACTGGTAACTTTTACAAAGAGCCTAGTCAATAAATGTCAAAGAACTAACTAAAGCCTTGGCCTTACATACTTCTCAGAGTTGTCTCTCAGATTAATAAGATCTGTCAAGATTACTCATTTTATCCTTTAGCAATTTTTGTGTACTTTCATTTAATTATCTCATTTAATCTTTACAACAAGCTCATTTGAATGGTGAGAAATTGATCACAGGAAAATTAAATGTCTGATATGTTTATCATATATATACATATATATGTACATACATATATATTTCCATAGCACACAGTGGTATGCAAAGGCATTTTGAAATAATGTGTATTCAGATGAAAGAAATAATAATTTATCATCATCTATTATTCTGAAATCCATGTTAATATAAATATGTGGATTGTCCTCAAATTCTTCCGTGCCAAGTATCAGTTCAACAGTAGATATGTATATGTTACTTAATCCACACATCTTTTTTTAAAACCTTATTTATTATTATTTTTTTATGTGTATGTGTGTATTACCTGCATGTAGCTAAGTGCACTCATGTCATGCAATCCCCGCAGAGGACAGAAGAGGCTTTCGGATCCCCTGGAACTGGAGTTACAGGCAGTTGTTAGCTGTCCTGTGGGTGCTGGGATTCGAACCCTGGTCTTCTGCAAGAACAACCGGTGTTCCTAACTGCTGAGCCGTCTCTCCAGCACCCAATCCACACATCTTTTCATTAAACTGTCCGTCATTATTTTGGAGACTGTAACCTTGTTCTTCTTTCAAAAACTATGTATTTATTACACTTTGGTAATAATCTTCATTTTTGTTTTTCATTCTATAAGAAAATTATTTAGGGGGTGGAGAGATGGCTCAGCAGTTAACAGCAGTCTCTTGCAGAGGACCGGGGTTCATTTACCAGCACCCACATGATGGCTAATACCCATCAGTGACTCCAGTTCCAGGGGATCCAAAGTCCTCTTCTTGGCTCCATGGGCATTGCATGCATGGGTGTACTTACACGCAGGCAAACCACTCATACACACAAAAAAGAAAAAGAAAAAAGAGGTATTTGGGTCCTGCAAGATGGCTCAGTGGGTAAATGTACTTGCTGCCAAGCTGCCAGTCGAAGTTCAGTCACTGAGACCCTGTATGGTGGAAGGAACTGATTCTCTGACGTTGTCCTCTGTGTGTATCACACACACACACACACACACACACACACATACACACATGCAATTTATTAAAATTGTATTGCCAGGCAAATTTGTGACATGTATCCTTTTTAAAATGCAATAACCATGAGAAAATAAATTCGTGTCAAAATTGGAATAGATATCAATAAGAACCTTGAATACTTTGAAATACCAACAGTTTCATTTTGTTCATAGGAATATGACAGAACTGATGGCTTTTCACATGGTCCCTTTGGCTTGAAGCCTAGATCAGGTAAATATAAAGTCTTTAAATAAAATTTGATGTCTATATTTCAACTAGAGTGTCCAAAATTAAATGGGATTGAATCCATAATTTTAAGTGCGCGTAGATTCTTTCCCCTCTCCTAAAAATAATATTCTCTTGGCCTTATTTGCCTTTCCAAATCCCATCCTCATATCTTTCTTCCTCTTTACCTTCAAACTCCTGAAACCTCAGCTTTTTGTCATAGATATATGGCAGTCTTATTTCTACACTGTTGTGATTTCTGTTACAATGACCACTCTGCCAGCAGACTGTTTTGAAATTATAGCACTCCATTATATTATGGGTTTAAAAAGCGATCTTTTCGTGTTTGGCAAGTCCAAAAGGAAATGGATCCATTTTACTTGGCAGGGTATTGATTATAGTTTTTAATCCTGAATAACTATATTGACCTTCAAGAATAATTTCCTCTTTTTCTTTAAGCTGGAAGGCTGACATGTTCAATGATCAGGTTTAACCTGGGTCATAAGTTTCTAATAACATACATTTAAATAAGAACATGTGTAGAGAGTAGGAAAAAAATTGCACTTGTGTTCCCTGTTGCTTTTCATTTATGTAGATAGAGCTCATATATACATGGAAATATATTTGGAAAGCATCATTAATAATGCCTTTTGAAATTCTGTACTGATTCTTTTCATCATGCCTCTTTCTCTGTCAACGGATGTTCCTTTTATTAGCTTTATAACAAGATAAGAAATTTCTGTTTTTATAAAGCTTTTAGTCGCTCATCTCGTCAAGAGTATGGGGCAGCAGATCCAGGGTTTACAATGAGAAGAAAGATGGAACATTTACGGGAAGAGCGAGAGCAAATTCGACAACTTCGCAATGTAAGTCCAATTGACATTCCAATTCAACTTTATAGAAGTGGATTAAACTTGGAAAATTTATAAGGTCCAAGAATTTTATATTCAGTGCTCTTTCAAACTTTTGGATGATATTCTTCGTCATATGTAATATATACCTTATATCTAAATGGAATATCTGTGATTTATACCTATTTCTTTACAGAATCTTGAATCCAGATTAAAAGTAATTTTGCCTGATGACATTGGAGCTGCCCTTATGGATGGGGTTGTTCTTTGCCATTTGGCCAATCATATAAGGCCACGCTCTGTAGCTAGTATTCATGTGCCATCACCTGCAGTGGTAAGTTTTCTCTACATATTATTAGTTCTCCAAAGGAAGATACAACTTTTAAAAAACTGTCCTTAAATAGTATACCTCAGTAAATATACTTTTCAGTTTTAAATGAGTTATTTATAAAAATACTTGATAAGGTGGCTGGAGTGGTGGCTCAGTGGTTAAGAGCACTGACTGCTCTTGCAGAAGACCCGGGTTTGGTTCCCAGCACCCACACGGCGTGTATTAACCCTCCTTAACTCCAGTTCCAGGGGAATCCCAAGCCCTCTTCTGACCTGTGCGGCATTGCACTACATGGGTGCACTCACATACGTGCAGGCAATACACTCATACACATAAAGTAAAAATAATAAATTATTTTTTAAAAAACCTGATAAATGTCTTTCCCTCTTACTTTACAGCCCAAACTGAGCATGGCAAAATGTCGAAGAAATGTTGAAAATTTTCTTGATGCTTGCAAAAAGTTGGGTGTTTCACAGGTAATTGTCTGACAAAATGTTCATTCAGCGATTAATTTGTTACATGTAAATTAGAGTGATCTTCACAGTAGCAATGAATAGTGATTCCTGAACATGAAAATAAGTAGCTTCCCTTGGTCTCTTCTACCATGCTCTAATGCGTAGTTGCAGCAGTCATATAATAAGTCTTTCAAACTTGTTTTAAAGTCATTTATAAAGCATCTACCTCTATGGGAAACTTTGCTGATTCTAGACATCTGTGACTAAAGATAGTTTAGTAGTGATACTGTAGCTTGATTGTGATATAGCTGCTGTTATTTTTTTTTCCTCTGCTGGAGGACATGTAAACCTTTTGTTCTTGTTTGTGTTTTTGGTCATGCCAGGAATTGAATGTAGAGACTCATATATGCTAGGCAGGCATTTTACTGCTGAGATATACTCTGAGCCCTATTTCATAAACCCATGAATAGATTCTGATTTGAAAATTTGTATTAGTGTAAAAACATTTGAAACTTTATTAAAATTGTCAAAATTTTAGTACTATGAAATGATAACATCTGCAATGGAAAAATGAAATGGATACGAACTGGCTTGTATTTCACATAGTGATTGCAGTATTATAAATTTAAAGCAGTTCTGTAAATACATAACAAAAATGTATAATAAAAATATTACTATTTTTGAAGACATATAAATCAAACCTTAATATGTCTGTTGAGAAACTGATATTCCTAGCAGATCCCAATTACTTTGAGTAAAGCTCTCTTTTGAATGATGGCACCATAAGTTAATCTTTTAAAAAGACTTATTAGAACTTATTTTTATTAGAGTGTATGAGTATTCTGCTTGCATGAATGTAAGTGCACCATGTGTATGCAGGGCCTGCGAAGGCCAGAAAAAAGTGTCAGATTCCCTGGAACTGGAGTTATGCACAGTTGTTAGCTGTCGTGTGGGTGCTGGGAACTGAAATCAGGTTCTCTGCAAGAGTACACACTAAGCATTCTCTCCAGCCCCCCTTAGCTGATCTTTACATCCTACTTTCTCTTCTTTCCTTAATTGAATGGACATAATTTAATATATAAAAAAGCAGTGAATTAATTTGTTGTTTGGTAACTGCATGCTATTTTCTTATTTGTGATGCATATATGATACACTAATACATTAATTCTCAAATAAATTAATTTTATTTATTTATAACTTTCTAACTTCTTGAGAAAAAAAATTGAAAATTTTCCCAACTATAATTATATATATGTGTGTGTATATATATCGATATGAATGATTATATACAGTCTCTTCGTCATTTTTGTTTTAGGATTGTTATCTTCAGTTTCAGTGTGTTTTATCCTGAATTGTGAAGCAGTAATATACTTTATTTTATTATGTAATTCTTTTTGTTCTAGGATATTTTCTATTTTTAGCAGCTTTATTGAGGTATCAATGACCTATGACAAAATGCACATACATAAATGTATAAAATTTGATGCTTTTTTGTATTTCTTAAGTTCTAACCTTGGGCTTAATTTCTGCAAGGAAGCAATCTACTCTACTCCTGAGCCACATCTCCAGTACTAATATGTTCTCATATATGCATACACCATGAAATCATCACCACAATCAAAATAATGAATGTTGTTAGTTCCCAAAGTCTCCTCATGCCCTTTTGCAATCCTTCCTTCCCAGGAAAACCAGGAATCTGCTTTCCATCATTATGAACTCTTTCGTATTTTCTAGAATTTTACACAAATGCAAAGATACAATCTCTTTGAGCCACTCCCATTTTCAATTAATATAATTATTTTGAGGTTTGATGCAATCATTTGCAGTAAAAGTTTATTTGATGAAGTCCAGTTTACTCCCACCCCTTTATTTCTGTTACTTGCAGTTTTCATGTTGTGTCTTGAAAGAACATTGTCTAATGCAAGGTCATGACTATTTATTTACACCTATATGTTCTTCTAATAGTTGATTATTCATTATTCAATAATTTTTGAGACACATTTGTATGTCTCACTGTGTAGTCCTGACTTGACTGGAACTCACTGTGTAGACCAAGATGGCCTGGAACTCATAGAGCCTTTCCTGCATCTGCCTCCCGAATGCTGGGATTAAGGGCTTTTGCTATCATGCCTGACATAAAGTTTATTTTTATCTATGTGTATAATTTTTAAAATTTTAGTTTTGTGCATGTTGTGAAGTAGGGTTACAAATTCATTCCCCTGAACATCAGTATCTAGTTTTTCTTTTAGCAGTTGTTGATAAGATTCATCTATCACTAAATTGTCTTGACACTCTTGTTAAAAATTAATTGACTAAAAATGGAAAGTTTCATTTCTGAAATTGAATTTCTGAAATTTCATTTCAATTTTTCAGTTGTTTTTTTAAGGGCCACTTGAGATAGGGCCTCTCTATGTAGCCTCACATGGCCTAGAACTCTCTAGTTGACCATTGAAAGCTGGCTTCTATCTCAGAATGATCTTCCTGCCGCTGCCTCCTAAATGCTAGGATTAAAGATATGCACCATGAGTCCCAGTCTCACTCTCTTTGTTTCTGCATGGCAGTATTGATCTCTCTTACTGTAGCTTGATGGTACATTTTGAAGACAGGGTAAATGTTCCAGCTTTATTCATCTGAAGATTGTTTCGACTGTAGTGATTCCCTTGCATGTCCATATCAATTTTAGTATTAGCTTGTTAATTTCTGCAAGATAGCCAGTGTAAATTTTGTTACAGATTACATTGGGTTTACAGAATAATTTGGGGAATATTGTTTTCTTTAAAATATTCAGTTTTCAGTTCCAGGAACATGTATTCCACTTACTGATGACACCTTTAAAAATTAATGTAAATGGTAACTGTTTTTAATATGTCTCTTACATCTTTGATTAAACTAATTTATTAGTATTTTATTCTTCTGTAAAGAAAATTATCTTCTTAACTTGACTTCCAGACTTTTTTTTACTGCTTTTTATTGAGTTACAGTTGATTTTTAAATGTGGCCATCTTGTAGATTTCAGTTCTAATAGTTGTGTTGTATGATTTAAGATTTTCTCTGTTTCAAAGTCTCCTTGTCTGTATGTAAGAGGTAGTTTTACAATCTAGGTGTACTATTTTGAATTTGCATTTTTTTTGTTTCTTATTGCTTTATTTTCTTCATTGGACTCTGTCATATAATGTTGATGATTGGTGGTGCCTCTGGACAACTTGTCTTCTCTTAATCTTTTAGCTTCTGGGATGACATCAGTGTAGTTTCTTGATAGATGGTCTGTTATTAATTTGATAAATTTCCCCAAGTTACTTCTAAATTTATTTTTATTTTTTATTATTTTCATTCTAGTATATGAGTGTATTGCCTGCATATGTGTAAGTGCACCCATATCATGCAGTGCCCTTGGAGGTCAGAAGAAAGTGGGGTATTCAGCTAGAACTGGAGTTATGGATGATAGTTAGCTGCCATGTAGGTGCTAGGAATTGTACCTGGGTCCTCTGCAAGAGCAGCCAGTGCTCTTATCCATTGAGCATTCTCTCCAGGCCCCTAAGTTACTATTTTACAAGTATCCGGTATTTTGTAGATTTGTATGAAAGCCTGTTTTTTTTTTCTGTATTCCTGTGCATTTCATCTTTATCAAAGGCCATTTTTGTGTGTATCTGTGGATCTATTTTTTAATTCTTTGTTTTGATCCTTTAACCGCTTTCTCTCCGTGTTTGCATTGGTGAATCACTGTTTTGCTTACTAGAGTTTGAAACCACACAATATTAGCTATTCTGGGTCCTTTGCATTTCCATATAAATTTAGAATAGTGTATTAACTTATGTAGAAAAAGAAAACCTGATTCAATTGTTATAAAAATTTTTTGAATTTATAGAACATTGTTAGAATTATATCTCAACAATATTGCATCTTCTCTTCTATGAACAAAGTCTATTTTTCCCGGGTCTTCTTTAATTTCTTTGGCAATGTTCTCACTATATAGATCTTTCCATATTTTTCTTTAAAATTTGTATTTTCATGGTGTACTAATGTTTTTTTAACTTTTTAAAACATTTTATTATTTTTATTTTATGTGTATGTGTGTATTGCCTGCATGTAGGTAAGTGCACCCGAGTCATAATGCCCGTGGAGGTCAGAAGAGGCTGTCAGATCCCTGGGACTGGAGTTACAGACAGTTGTTAGCTGCCATGTGGGGGCTTTGATTTGAACCCAGGTCTTCTGCAAGAACAATCAGTGTTCTTAACTGCTGAGCCATCTCTCCAGCCCCTGATGCTTATTTTTAATATCTCCTTTGTTTCCAATATATACTCATTTGTATTTTACAATGCTGCTAAATTTACTTCTTGCTTTTTTATAGGTTTCATAGAAATTTCTGAATAGATATTCATGTTTTCTATGAGCAGAAATAGCCTTTCTTCCTTTGTGATCTTATTTTTTATAAAAATAGAGGTCTGTTTTAATACAGGTACTTTAGTATAGGTTGAAGAGAAAGAGAATGACTCAGAGAAAGTAAGACATAGTTAAGAGCATGGGTGTGGGCTTATCAAAGAAGGATCACGGAAAGAGACAGACACATGAGAAAGTCACCTGCAACCAATTTTGTTTACTGTTTTCATGCTTAATTGTGATCACCCAGTACAGTCTTGAGAAAGAGTGACCAGAGTAGGCAGGCTTGTCTTTTTCCTATTTTTTAAAAGAAAATTTCAGCCTTCCACCTTTAAGTTGGATTTATCTGTGTGTTTTTTGTTAGTTTGTTTGTTTTGTTGGGGTGGTGGTTGCTCATAGGCCTGCAAAGTGCTGGGACTAAAGGCATGTGCCACCATTCCTAGCTGGCTGTGAGTTTTTAATAGATGAACTATATCAACTGAGGGGGTCATCTATTAGTAGTTTCCTTACATTCTTATCAGGAATAGATGTTGGATTTCATTAAATGATCTTTTTGTATCAGTTGGTGTGATCATTATGGTTTTTTTTTTCTAGTTTCTAAACCTTATAAATCATATTAATTGATTTTTCTAGATATTGAATCAATCCTGAGTTCCTGGGGAAAACTGTAACTGATCACAATGGATTTTGTTGTTATTGTTTAAATGTTGTTGAATTCCGTTTGTTTAACTTTTGTTTAGATTTTTTTTTACATTTACCTTTATGAGCAAGTTTGTTTTAAGTTTTCCTTTTAACGTCAGTCTGTTAGGCAGTGCTGATCTGTCCACAGAATGTGTATCCCTTCCTTTTTGCTTTTCACAAATACCTGGACAGAATCTATGTCACTCTCTTTAAAATATTTCTCCAAATTTATTAACAGCCCAATTAGGTCAGAGGTTTCTTTCTCAGATTTTAAACAACTAATTTTTAAGCAGATACAGTGCTATTCTATATATCTCTGAGTTGGTACGTTGTATCTTTTAAAAATTTGCTAATTTCTTTAAATTTGTTATATTGCTATAGCATTATTTATAATACCACTTTTTTCTTAGTATTTGTAGAATGTCATATTGTGTTGTCTCTGCTATTATTCATGATTATGATAAGCCAGAGGCTTATGTAATTAAAAAGCTGGTTTCATTGACTTTGTTTGTTTGTTTTTTGCTTTGTTTTCTTCTCGGATCATTGTTTGCTTTTTACTGTTTTAATTGGTTTAATTTGCTCTATTTTACTTTCTAAGGCGGGAGCTTCATTCTTTTTTAATATAAACTTCAGTGCTTATTTGAGTGTGTACAATGCTAGAAGAGGACAGACTGTATCAGTTGAAATGGAGATGAGAAAGTAGATTTTGAGACCTCTTTAGGTATATCCTCAGTGATATAAAAAGAAAGAGAAAGTTGTTAAGCTCCCTATCTTTGTGTAAGTGGAGTTTGACTAGTGTATTATTGACTGAGATATAAGCACCAAAAAGGGAAGCTTGTTTCTTGATGTAATTCCGTTGTGTACATGTTGATTTTGATATCTTTTGGACCATATTTGGTTATGGGTCACTGACAATGGCTTGATATGTGTTCTTTGGAAATAAAGATTACTAAATCCATCATGATGGAAGAAATAATGAAAATTGTGGGATAGAACACCAAAGAGCGATGTAGTAGAAAAAAGTGAAGATGGAATTCTTGGACATATTTAGAATTTAGAGCAAAATCCTTGGGGACTAATGAAATTCAAAGCACAGTTGCTGTAGGAATGTTGAAGAACTAAATAGATTGATATCATAGAAGACAAAAGAGGGGTAAAGTTTCAAGAAAAGCATTATTAAAGGGTTGACAGGACAGAGCAGTCAAGTAGCCATGTGCATCATTTGATATATGGGAAGGTGTTGGTAATTTTGACCAGAGCAAATTCTTTGGACAGATGCATTAGAGGAAGCTGTAAGATTAAGTAGAGATTAAGCAATGGTGACAATATCCTTTACAAATGGTTTCTGAGTAGAGAGAGGGGTTCAGGTGTAAACTCATAGCATTAGAGACCAAGCTAATCTCTACAACCATTTTCTTAGTGTTTAGATATTTAGAAGAGAAAATGTAGAATTAATGTATTATTTTATTTTAATAAAAAGGATGTTTTAAAAGATCTTATTCTGAATTGAATTTTACCCTACTACTAAAAAATTAACACTCAAATATCTTTATCTCATTCTCCAGGAAAGACTCTGTTTACCTCACCATATTTTGGAAGAACGAGGTCTTGTGAAAGTTGGTGTCACAGTCCAGGCACTCCTTGAATTACCTACTACCAAGGCATCTCAGCTTTCTATGGCTTGATATGACATTTTTAAAGATCATAACTGTACAATTTCATTTATTTTAAGTGATTTCAAATATTTTCAAATCATGAATAAGAATGTTCAGTAAAAAAAATAGCTGGCCTTAGATTTATCTTTAAAAAAAATTTACATTAAGACATCAAATGTAAACTCTGAATTGCCCAGGCAATTTCTTGGAGAAAAATTGGATTAGTTTAATGAGTTTTTAATAAATTCAAATGTTCTTTTTAGTAAGTCAGTAAATAACCTTAAGTGATTTTTAAAACTCAGATTGATCATAAATTTAAAACATCATTTCAATCTTAAAATTACATTAAGTTTAATTTTTTACATCATTGTATACAAGTAAAAGTGATTGTTTTTAGCAAAACAATTCTATATTTGAGTTATTTCCTATACTTCTGTTTTATACATAATTTCTTCAATATTCTGTCTTTGTTTCCTAGAAAAAAAAATGAGTAGATATAAACAAAGCCCTGCCATTATATTCAATTCTTTTAGTATTATTGGTTGGTGCCAAAATGTTTTCAGTTATACTGTAGATTGTTTACATGTGAAGTGCCTGTGTGATTGATGAATCTATATAGTATTAAGCATTTTTGCAATTTCTTTTTTATGTTTTAATAGAATCAATGCAATTTTAAAATATTTTAGTAGGTTTTCTACAATCAGTAATAGGTGAGGATTTAAATGTGCCTCACTTTTGTGGTTCTTAGTTAATCCATTGCAGTTTCCTTAAATTGGTTATTTCATGTTGTCAAAAATGTTAATATGCTTAATTTATGCTATTTAACTTTGCAAAACATAATCATCTTTTAAAATGTATTATTTGAAGAATATTTTATTTCTGTATTGAAAGTGTTATACTAAGCAGTAAGACTTTGGAGAGCTAGTGAAGTACTAATTGTCAAGGACATTTTGATAAAACTGCCAAAGTTTGGGTTTGTATCTTGACTTTCGGGAACATTCAGTACATCACTGCTGCCTTTAGCTATAATCAGAAAGCAGCAATTGAGAAGTAAGTTCTTATTCAAAGTCTGGCTATTTGTGGATCATATATACATTATGCTCCTCAATTAACTTGATGTTGGAATAAATCCAGTCTGTTCCATAAATATTTTCATGAGATAGTATGTCCATAAAGTCCTTGTTTGATTCAGAGATGGATACATTTATGGTGATTGTAGTGAATGTAGGAATTTTTCCAAAAGTCTAATGAATAATCCACTTTCCTATAGAAGAACATTAATAATCATTTTTGTAGTAGTCATACAAGTATAATTTCTTAAATATGTGATCATTTGCACTTGTTACCTCTGAATATGGATGCAACTTTTAAAAAAAATGTTGGCCTGGATATTTCAATGGGCATTTATAAAATGTATAATGTCTTGTGCCAAATGGTATAATAAGGATTGGTTTAGGAAGGACTCCACACTGTTGATCAGCTGACATGAAGCCATGCAATTGAATTTTGTCTTTAGAAAATAGATGTAATTTTACATGCCCCAAGAGTCAAATTGTAGCTATCAGAGTTAAAGTTTCCTATGACTATAAAGTTTAATAATTAAATTATAAAT